TCCTCCTCCTCCTCCCTCACTCCTTCCTCTCTCCTCCAACTCGTCCTCTTTCTCCTCCTTCTCTCCCCTCCTCCTCCCTCCTCCTCTTCTCCCTCCTTCCTTCCTTCTCCTCTCCCCCTCCCCCTCCCCACTCCTCTCTCCTCCTCCTCCCTCCTCCTCTCTCCTCCTCCTCCTCCTCCTCCTCCCTCCTCCTCTCTCCTCCTTCATCCTCCGTTTTCTCCTCCTCCTCCCCTCCTCCTTCCTCCTCCTCTCCTCCTCCTCCTCCTCTCCTCCCCCTCCCTCCTCCCCTCCCCCTCCTCCTCCTCTTCCTCTGCCTCCTCCTCCTGCCTCCTCTCCTCCTCCTCCTCCTCCTACTCTACCTCCTCCTCCTCCCCCTCCTCCTCCTCCTCCTCCTCACTCCTGACTCCTCTGACTCCTCCTCCTCCTCCTCCTCCTCCTCCTCCTCCTCCTCCTCCTCCTCCTCCTCCTCCTCACTCCTCTGTCCTCCTTCTCCTCTTCCTCCTCTCCTCCTCCTCCTCCTCCTTCCTCCTCCTCCTCCTCCTCCTTCTCCTCCTCCTCCTCCTCCTTCTCCTCCTCCTCCTCCTCCTCCTCCTCCTCCTCCCCCTCCTCCTCGGGCCATCTTGGAGGTCATCGGAGAGCCCTCCCGAAGGCAACGTTGAGGGGATGTCTCGAGCAAAACGCTCATGGTTCAAAACAGATGTGAAACACACCCTCGGGCTTTCCAACAGTTTAGCTTCTTGGGCTATCTTGGAGGTTCTCCGAATGCGCTTCGACTTGATAGTTGACCCACTCTGTTGTAGCATGCGACTTCTGGGGGATGTCCCTCGCGAGTTGGCCTTTTTGTTGGCGATCCCAAGACGAAGCCACCGAGTTCCTGAACTCGATGCTTCGAAGATGTCTGTGACATTGTCATCCAGACTTATGTTGCGGCCGGCCAGGGGACTGCGCACTGTCGATCTTTATGGTGTTCTGCCTGTTTGCGTTTCCCCTCCAGCGGGGGCTCTCTGGAGGTGTCCCAGGGGGAGGCGCCGTGCGAGGCGGGGCCCGAGGCCTCTGGGGGCTGAGGGGGCAAGAGAAGGCCCAGAGGATGAGGTTGAGGGCGGCTCCTTCTTCAAAGCGGGGTTCTCGCTAGAGCTTCACTTCAGGTCCACTGCATTGGTTGTTGACAGAGCCTCTTCGGAGGTTCGAATCTTTGGTCCTTTGATCCGGTGTTACTTATGTGTTGGGAGGGCGGGTAGTAGTGAGCTACACGGCTTGCTCCTTGTAGGTGTCTTGACTCCTCCCCATACCCTCTCCCCTGTACCTGAACGGGAGGGGCCGCGATTTGTTGGAGCGTCCAAGATCGTCCCCTGGGGGGGCTAATTTTTGACACCCATCACGAGGATCGTGGCCCCCGAGGGGGGGACCTCGATCGGATGAATCCATTATTTGATCGATAGCCTCGAAGATGGCTCTCAGAGGCGCTCCAGGGCTCCCAAGAGAGCCCCTAAGAGAGCCCCAAAAGGGCTCCAAGAGGGCCCCAAGAGGGCCCCAAGAGGCACCCGAGAGGCTCCCAAGAGGCCCCCGAGCGGTCTCAGAGAGCCAGAGATGACCTCCAAGATGGCTCAGATAGCCCATGTTGGCTCAAGATGGCTCCCAAGATGCTCCAAACGGCCCCAAGACCGCTCCAAGAGCGCCCAAGAGCGCTCCAAGAGAGCCTCAAGAAACGCTTTGCCGGCTCCTGAGGGGGGAGCTGAGTTGGGGACCCCCCCATCCTGTAATCGATGGCCTCCAAGATAATCCCAAGAAGCCTTCCAGGGTTACCAAGGAGGGTTCCAAGAGGGCCCCCAAAACTCACAGAGAGCACCAGCAGCAGCAGCAACAGCAGCAGCCGCAAGAATACCCCAAGATGGTTCCATCAGTCCTCGTCCGCGTCGTCATCATCCTAGTCCTCGTCCTCCTCGTCATCCTCCTCATCCTCCTCTTCTTCCCCTCGCCCCCACGCGGCACCCAGGGATGGCCCGAAGAGGCATGTCAAGGCCATCCCCTTGCTCGCTCTGTTTCCCTAGATGTGTCTCTTCGTCCCGTTTCCCGTCAGCTCTGAAGGGCAGGGTTTCTGATTGGGCTGGTCGGGATACTTTTTTGTTCGCGAGCACGCAGGAATGCCAGGCGCCGTCAAGAAACGCGGCTAATGAGCAGCGGACTACCTGGCGGGGATACTTTTTTTGGTCGGCGGCTCCGAGGCGGCGGACAGGGAGCGGTAGGCGTCGTCTGGGCCAGCAGGCGAAGGTGATTAGCTACAACAGGCAAGGCACCACCTGGCGGGGATACGCGAAGCGTGAAGAATTACTCGTGGGATGCTGGCGGGCGACGCGAATACCAAGAACTCTCGGGATTACTTATGACTGCTGGCCACGGTATGCACGCTGGCGGGCAAGGCCGGACACTCGGGATTCCGGGGGCGGCGGCGGTCTTCACGCTGACGGGCGAGCTGGAATACTCGGGATGACTGGCGGACCGCGACGGGCGGGCGGGGCGGCCAGGACATAAAACGAGCAGTACATTGAAGCGAACGGGTCGGGGCGGGCGGGCCGGGCACTTCGAGCCGGTGGGACGCAGGACTTTCAAGCGGGCGCATCGGGGCGGCCGGGTGGAGATACAAAGGTCGAAATGCATCCCGAAAATCCGAAACTCTCGGGCTCCGACATGCCAACGATCCGGAACATCGCATGTATGGCAAGGAAGGCGACTCAGAAGGCGGAAGACGTTGCTCGAAGCCCCCTCCCTCTTCGCGTGCCCCTCCTTTCAAGCGCGCCGCCGAGAGGACGAGGTGAGAGGGCGAGAAAGATGGAGTGGTCAGTCAGCGAAAGTCTACGTGTCCCCACTCTGAAGCAGTCCTATGATCAACAATCCTGACACCTTGGGCCCGCTAAACACTCTTCTCTGCATTTGGTAACAGGAGTGGAAAGGACCAAGCCCGTCGCGGGCAACCATTGCCGCGCGATGTCGACCCCATCGGCTTGCGCCATCCGCCGCAAAAATCAGACCCCTGGCCAACGGGCGCGGACAGGTCGACGTTCACCCCCGTCTGGGGGGACGCCCCCCCCCCCCCCCCCCCCCCCCGCTTGCTGGAACGTATGACTGAAACGTAGAAGCAAGCGGGCAGGCCACCCGCTCGCAAGCACACACATCGCGCACGAGCGCAGGGCTCGAAGCCGCGCACACCGTCGAGTCTCGCCCTGACGTGCAGCGCAACTGAAAATCCTGGGCTGGCGAGTCCTGGCTGTCCCGACAGCACCGTGATTCGAAGGGGGGTCGAGGCTCGCCGCAACGAAACTGGCCGCCAACTGGAGAATGCGAAGAGAAGGGGATGTCTGGCATGACTTGAAGTGGCGTGAAAGCGAGGGCGGTGGTTCAGATATACAGCATAGAAAGGGGATCTCTCTCTATACATATATATATATATGTATACATTTTCGTCTCGCGCAAACTGGCCACTATGCAAATCCTGACCCGTCAAGGCTGCTGCGACACTGGGCCACACTATTTTCGCCAGCCCTCTCTGCTACTTTACGTTCCCTTTTTCGTCTTCTCCTTCTTCTGTTCGATCATGTCATCCAGCACAGCGGTGAGCTTCCTGAAATTGTACGCGTACCAACCTGCGCCGTTCCAGATGGCTGATGCAAACACGGCTACACATTGAGCAAAATGGAAACGCTCGCCGCCGAAACGATACAAGGGGTACGTACATACAGAGGCTAAAGCGGTTGAGCTGTACATCCACATTTCGTACTTGAGGTATCTCATGGTGTCGCTTCCGCCGCTTTCGAGCGTGCCGAATAAATTGCTGAACATCGTGGGCCGCTTGGGGGCTAGCTGGTCAGCAGGACTGCTCCGGTGCCCATACTTTCGCAAGCTCAGGCCACAACTCAGGAAGAACGTGCTGTGGAAGATGGTGTATGCCTCGGGAATATGCTGACCCGGGTCAATCACGACCCGGGTCAGTCAAGCCTTGCAGGATCCTGGAGGATCCTGCAGGATCCTGCACACAAGCCCGGGTCAAGGCGACCTTGGCCCTGCAGGATCCTGCAGGATCCTGCAAGATCTGGCACCCAAGCCCGGGTCATTGCGACCCTGGCCCTGCAGGATCCTGCAGGATCTGGCGCTCTGGCTGACCCCCGTTTGCGGTGAGCCCCGTTTCTTGTGCCCCGAATGCCGTCAAGCATGCGAGGACAGGCTGGAAGAATTCCCAGAAGCCGAAGGCCCGTGCTGCCTGACCTGCGCCCCTGACCAGTTGGCCCTCCTCCGTCTGGGGCCACACCCTCAGCGAGTAGCACGTCACCACGGGTGACAAATGGATAAGCTTAGAAAACCCTGGGTTCGCCAGGGACTGGTTTCCCCCCAGAAGGACGAACATCCTTCCAAACTCTTCCCGAAACGCTCCGGCAAGCCAACCGGAACCCTTCCAGGAGGGTCTTCGGAGGGTTTCGGGAGGGTTTTCGGCTGTTTTGAAAGGAATCCAATCCCTAGCGAACCCTGGACTTTCTAAGGATAAGCAGGGCCATGGTGTGATCGATAGAGTGCGGGACAATCGGGTTTCGGAAAAGCGGCACCGCGATAGCCAATGGTCCCGCGGCGAAGCCGAAAATGGTGCTGCACAGATGGTCAAAAAACTCCGGCCCGAAATAGTTACGATTGAAGTACCAGACTGGGAGCACCGTGCACATGGTCGCATTCATAACCCAACACAATTCCGCAAAATATAATAGCTGCTTCATCTTCCACCAGCGGTACGAGTGGATCGGGAGGAGGGCCCAGAACTGCAACACGTGCCACTTCCAGTAATGGCCCGGCCAGCGACCGCATATGTACAGTGATAAGTAGGTCTTAGCGACCCCGAGGAAGAACTTCCACTTGGTGAAGCCGAAGATCGGCGACGCGCCGAAGCTGTCAACCTGTTTCTTGATAAGCGCCCGCGCCTCTTCCAAGTCCGTGAATGCATTTTCGTCGTAGTTTGGCATGTGCCTTGCCGCTCCTCTGCTTGGGACTCTGGTGTCTGCAGAAGCGATGGACAAGGCTGGCAGACTGTCACAAAGCAATCCAAGAGCACTCGGGTGCGACAAACTTTGAGAAGCTGCGCGGCTTGGGCCAGGAATGGCTATGGGGGCAGAGGAAGACGACGATAAATACTAACGGATGGGACGCACAGAGACATAATAGTACTATTGTTCCTCCTTGGAGGCGCGCGTCCGACCCGAACATACAGTCTATCCATCTTGTAGTATATCGTTTCATGAGCGGCGTGGCCAGAAAGCGCCCGCCACGACGCATATACTATAAGATTTGTCGGCGCGCGCGTCGCCCCTGGGGAGGGGCAACGCACAGATAGTATTAGTATGTTGGGGCGATGCTGAATGGAGGCCAATGCGTCTCACGTCTCTGTCCACCATTTCCCCCCTGAGCCGGCACACCAACGAAAAGTGGTGGGCAGCCCCCGCCCACGCGCTCCGCAAGGTGGCAGTCCCAGCCAGCGCCTCACAAGGGGAGGACAAGAGTGACGAGGATGAGGCTGACGAGGAGACTGCCGACGACGAAGCGCACTTCAAGCCTCCAGGCCCCTGGAGGCTCCCGGCCCCTGATGGCCTCCAAGAGGTCTCCGGGGGCCTCCGAGGATGCACGGAGGCCTCCAGTCCAAGACGTCGAACATCGATCCTCCCCCCACGAGCCTCCAAGTAAAAGGGACAATCTGAACCCCAGTCCTGAGCCCACCTCCGCCTCCTCCTCGTCGTCACCGTCGCCCTCCTCCTCATCATTCCAGCCGTCGTCCTCACCGTCGTCAAGTCCCGCCGCTCCCATCATGTGAGAAAGAGCCGGGAAAGTCCCGGAGTACTGATGAGGGCACAGGACGAGCAGGGAGAAGAGAGGAGCGGCTCTGGGGTGCGCGCTCGCCGGGAGCTCCGAGGTGAACGCAGCCGTGGCCGCGAGGGCGCCACGGAATGTCCCGGATGTCTACGAGGTTCAGGGCCCAGCGCCGACCAGGGAAATCCGCGCGGGCCTCCGACAGTTCGTGTTCAGAACTCTCGTTGTGTGTTCTTCGACTCGGTCCTCGAACCTCGATCGGCGATCGATCGATGACGACGGCGACGGCGACGGCGTAGGACACACATTGGAAGGGACCTCTCAAGCTTTCCTCACGCCTGCGCAGTAACCAACAGAGCAAGAACGCATCTGAGCACAGGAGGGCGTGCGTGCAGCTACGAGCTCGGAAATGCAGAAGCGAGGTGCGGACGACGCTGCAAAGCCCTAGGAGAGCAGAGCATTGACAGCGCAAGCACCAAATCTGCAAGTGGCCAGGGAGCCCCCTGCAAACACTCGGGCACCAACAGGGCCAAAAACTGCCAACAACGTGGAGCCCCCGATCCCTCGATCCTCGATCCATCTGTCGAACATGGATCCTCAATCATCCACGATCGATCGACGACGGCTACGGCGACGTCACCGAGAGCGCCCAAAACGGCGGCTGCGGGCCGCATTTCGCGGGGCGGCCGAACCGCCGCCGACAACGACGACGACAACGACGGCGACGACGACAACAACGACAAAGACGACACGACGCCGACGACGACGAGGACGAGCACGAGGACGAGCAGGAGGACGAGGACGAGGACGAGGACGACGACGAGGACGACGACGACGACGACGACGACGACGGCCCGGGTCGCCCAACGGACCTGGTCAGTGGGGCGTGACGACCAGAACTTCGAGGCGGATCCTCCCACGGTGCGACGAGAAGCTCCTGAAAGGGCCAGCTAACCTCCGGGAGACCTTCATCCTCGATCCCTCAAACTTCGACCCCTCAATTCTCGATCGAGCGATCGACGACGACGACGACATCGCCAAGAACGACAACTTGGACAGACAACTGCGGGCCGCGTTCCGCGGGACGGCCGCACCGACGACAGCGACGGCCGACGACGATCGATGACGATCGACGACTTGGCATGAACCAAATGGGTCATGAAGGAAGCGGGTCCTGAACCCATGGGCCTTCTCCCGGGCTCGTCCTGAGGTGTTTTATGACTGCCCCGGGGCTCGTGGAGGGCCCCAGGAGCCCGAAAACGACGCAAAACCTCAGGACCCGTTTCCCTTGTGACCCGTTTGCTTCGGGTGCGTCCAAGAGGGGGGCTCGTCGCAACCCATGGCCAGAGGCATGTGCAGGCCACGAGGTCCAGGGCGATCACATGGCCCCGGCCATGGTATCCCCCCCCTTCTTCGGCACCTGGTGGTTTTGGGGTGATGACTCGGGACTCCGGCGGCCATCCAGGACCTCGGAATGACATCCCGAGGTGAGGGACGCCTGCGAGCTTCCCTCAGGTCCAACGAAGGTAAGATCGGGACAACATCGGATCAAGATAATTTGGGAATCTCTGAGATCTGACTGTTCTGAGGAATGTACTGGGCGCCGCGATCTTCTTTAAGCATTCTGGGACGGTCTTAAACCGTTCTGGAGGGATCTGGGGTGGTGTATCCCGAACCTACGGCCAGGAACTTTGGCTTAGCATGTCGCGGCGGCGGCCCCAGCGGGAGGCTCGGAGAGGCTCGGGACGTTGACGCTCGGGGGCCAGCTCATGGCTAGCGTGTGGCGCCGAGGCGTGGTAGGCCAGAATCGGCGGCGCGGCACGCTGAGTCAAAGATCCTGACCATAGGCGTGACTGATCAAGACCCGCCTGGTCTTCGAGTCATAACTCGGCTCTCCAAAGGCCTTTTGGCACGATAGGGGCACCCCCCGAACGCCCTCGGCGAGTCGCAGCCGCTTGAAGCATCCCGAGGCTGCAACACCGCCGAAGGCCGAAGACAATTTCCGAATACCTACGACACCCCGAACCCAGAACTCCGGACCCCCCCGACCCTATCTCCCTCTTCACAGCGGAAGACGACGATGTCGGGGGCGTCCACGAGGGGGGCGTCCAAGAGGGGGCTCGGAAATCATGGCCCGAGGAATGTGCGCGGACCAGTGGGAGGCCAGGGACCGCATTGAAACGAGAGGAGGGGCCGTGAGGTCTGGGAAATATCATGGTCCTAGCCATGATATCCCCCGCTTATCATCACCCTCTTCCTGGCCGCCCCCCATCCATGGCGGAACACGACGGTACGGTCGACGGGGCGACCGCCCTGAACAGCAGCTTAGGGCAGCCATCCGGTCGGGAACTTTGTTGATTAGCAATAGAAGTACCCCTACCACTTTGGGAGAGGACCTAAGTTAGGAGGGCCAGAATCATTAGGGATATTGATCTGTTCTGCAGAAAAATCGGAACGAACAAGCCAGATGCATTATCCCTTATGCGAAGACGGGGACCTCAGTGAGGGCATGTCCTCATCCTCGATTGTTTGCCTTACCGTGTCGCTCCGCTGGCTCTGGCCCACCGCGCTTCGGCGCGACTCGTTATCCACTTCCTGGTCCCGAGGCGTCGGCGTCCCGACCTTCCCCGAGCCCTCCGCACCGCGGAGCGGAGCGACACGCTATCCGATCGCAGGGCATAGCGTGTCGCAAGGGCCGCCGCCGCCGCGACACGCACGCGAAGCCAAACTTCCCGACCGTATCGCCCCCTCATGGCGGAAGACGACGATACGGTCGACGCGGCGACCGCCCGGAACAGCGGCTTGGGGCCGCCCTCCGCGGCGTAACCGCGCCAGTCCGCAGCCAGGGCCAGCCAACACTCTGGCGGGGGCGCACCGCGGGCCGACGACGACGAAGACTTTGAAGGCGAAAACTTTGGCGACGACGACGACGACGATGTTGCTGACGTTGGCTTCCTCGCTCCCTCCTCCTCCTCCTCCCCTCCCCTCGCCTTCTTCGCTCTCTCGCCATGGATATGTGTATCAATCCCCCCTCTTTCTATATGTTGTTTTCTCTCTCTCTCTCTGTCCCTTCCTCTCCCTTCCTATTAGTTATTATCGTGCTGATGTTCATCGCTGTCTCTCCCTCTCTATTTCCTCGTTTATTGTGCCATTGCTCTCTATCATGTTTGATTTCTTTCTCACCCTCTCTCTCACACGTATACATATGCCCCTCTTCCGATCTCTGAAGTTTTACGTTTGTATGAATCGATGGTGAGGTAGAGAGATTGTTCTCTCTCTCTCTCTCTTTCTGTCTCTCCCTCTCTCTCTCTCTCTCCTTCTCTGTCTCGCCCTCCCATCTCCTTCTCTCTCCATATATCTTATCTCCCAAGCAACTAAGCAAGGGCAGCAAGGCACCTCACCCCAAAAGCTATCTCGCGCGGGCGGATGCCTGCGTCGCCACCCTCCAAGCTGGAGGTGAGGATCGAACCGTCCAATCTTATAACGACCTCGCCATCGAAACAGCAACTAACCTGGACGCTACCCGTAAGCAACGCCGATCCGGCCCTGGCAATAATCGCGCCGCGTTGCAACATTGTTGTGCAACATCCAGGGTCAGCTGGCCCTTACCCCACTTCGAGCCGACCAAGGCCCGCGAGACGAAACGCCGAGCCAGACCATCCGGCACGGCCCGCTCGTCAAGATCACCCCAGAGACCAGACTCGCCTTACATGAGCCTTGACATCAGACAATGAAGCGTTCCTGTCATGGCCAAACCGTCCCAAGTTACCTCAGCTCCATTTCGCTCCACACCCACGAGAACGGCGAAAAGCTCCGTGCGCAAATCCGTTTGCAAGACGCCCCTCATCCGCTCGCCCCGCTCGCCGCCGCACCCTTCGCGGCTGCCGCCAAACACCTCTTGGGAATTTGTTTCACTCAGGGCGTCTCCTCCCGTTTTTCGGCCTCGAACGGCGTGTTGCGTAGCCTGCGTCCTCCTTCTCGCTCCCTCCATCGTGGCATTCTCCTCCTCCTCCTCCTCCTCCTCCTTGGCCTCTTCTGGCTGGGGCGCTGTCTGTGCGAACATTGGTCGCGTGCTGGAGCAAGTTCCGAATGCCAAGCACTGGCCACCAAAGAGCTGCCGCTGGTTAGCGCCGGGCAGGAGCCCCCGGCAACCAACCAGCGG